ACAAGCGACGTGACGATTTTTGATTTGATACGGACAAGTTCATAATCTAAGACGTCATCTTTTGTAATGTTCAGGTTAGGTATCTCGTCTTTTAGACGTCAGTATTTTGGGATTGGAGTCGTGTTATTTGGAATTACATGTCGGCTCTTTATGCTTCTCTGATGTGATATCCTTAATAACTGTTTCACAATAGCATCGTGGTTCTTCATTGTTACGTGGCTTTAAGACGTCGGTAAATATATTGCAGTCGTTGAATGCTCCAAAACGTCGTTTTTTTATGACAATTTTATTAAAACAGACGTATGTTTTTCACATTTTTATCAAGACCGTCGTGTTTGTAATCTTGAACCAGTATTTTTTGTACTGATTGTTTTGTGGCCAAAACCTGAATAATGAAAGTGAAGAAATCACATTACAATATATTACAAAATTAATGTCATACACTGCCATAAGTAATTTCATAAATTACATAAGTATCATTCAATCCATATATCTTCACACCCATCTTGAATATTTTGACTCCCAAACTCACCCACCAGTTCATCAAATGTGTCAAAATTTGGCATCCCTCTAGTAAATGGCTCACACTCAATTCTCACATCACCTAAGACATCATCACCAATAACATCAATATATTCTCTATTAGGCATTGATAACACTACCAACCAACCACGATGCATCGGGTCGTCAACAAAAAATACTTATTTGACTTGAGAAGCCAAAACAAATTGGTCATTCCTATGTTCAATTTTACTCAAATCTACAAGGGTAAATCCAAGTTCATCGACTACAAGACCAGAAGTACTATCTATCCAATCACACCTAAAGACTGGGATTGTAAACTTTTGGTAGTCAAGGTCCCAAATTTCTTGAATGACACCATAGAAACCCATATTTGAGAGAATTGAGTTTTTATCCTTGGCACTAGCAACTTGCATGGTATGTGCAAGTAAATAAACTCCACAATTTTGAGTTGTCCGCACATCATCTTGTGCCTTGATGTTAAATTTAATACCTTTAATAAGATAGCTCCTATATGATGGCACTGCCATGTTTGGACCAGCTGCTAGCCACCTTAAATTTTCTGATACGCTGTGATTGTCTTCCTCATTAAGTTCACTTTGAACCTGCAAATTAATCATATCATAATTTAGTCTAACATAGAAAGAAGAAAATTAAAAGTCCAATATGTTATTCAATAACATATACCTTGAAGCGTAGCCATTGAATGAAAGTGCTATTTTGCTTATCTTGCAGCCACTTTGTTCTCTTTCTAAATTTTGGATAAGCGGTCTTGATGTGGATCATATGTTGCCTACATGACACGAAAAATCAAGCATTATGGTCCCAAACATATAAGATAAACATAAGAAATAATTTAAAATAGAAACTTAAAGCATAAAACTCATACGTACTCGATATAAGGTAGGACTTCCTCCGTATTCTCCAAGACATATAGATGTGCTTGGTTCAACAGGTCCTGATCAACTAAGCTCACTATGCAACCTGATAATGACTTTGAAACTCCCATCTTTTGGCTTGAAGGCACTCCAACTGTATTAACATCAGATAAATGCTCGGTACAAAACTCTACAGCTTTTTCAGCTATATACCGCTCAACAATGCAACCTTTGGGACGAGTACGATTCTGAACATACCTCCTTAGCACTTTCATATATCTTTCAAACAGATACATCCATCTAAAATATACTGGCCCACATAGACGAACTTCTTTGACAAGATGTACTACTAGATGAACCATGATATCAAAGAATGAAGGGGGAAAGTACTTCTCAAGCAAACATAAAGTAACTACTACATCTTCTTCCAACTTATCTAGCTTGGAAACATCAACCGTCTTTGCACATATAGCATTGAAGAAGAAGCACAAACGAGTTATTGCATACCTTTCAGGCTTCTCCAAAACAGAACGAATTGCCACAGGGAGCAATTGTTGCATTAGGGTATGACAATCATGTGATTTAAGGCCAAGAAGTCTTGAATCTTGTAAAGATACAAGATTTTTTATATTTGAAGAATAGCCTTCAAAGACCTTCATACCATAGAAAGAATTGCAAACCGCTTTCTTCTCTGCTCTTGAAAAATTCCAAGGCCCGGGAGGCAAACGAGTACGTCTTTCTCTGATACTCGGGTTGCAAATCAGTTTTGACCCCCATGTTCAATAAATCTAATCGAGTAGCAATCTCATCTTTATTTTAGGAATAGTTCCAGTGAGGATCTCCATGGTTCTTTTGTTTTGCTTTTTGCAATTAGACTCTTGTATCTGTTGAATAAACGAACCCAAAAACAAGAAAATGAAGAAGAGTAAAAGAAAAAATATTAAACCAATTGAAATGAAAGAAGGAAACTACAGGGCATACCTGAGTTTGTGAGACTAAGCTTAAATAGAAGAACACAGAGTATTAGTATGCAACACTTCTTTTTCGTTTTTTTATTAAGCTTCTTCTGGAAACAACTGTAAAGTGAAAGTGTAATGAAGATAAGTGAAACAAAATGCACGACTCTCAAATCTCGAAACAAAAAAGAATAGTTGGGCAACAGTTTTCTTTTAATTTTTTGTTTAGTAGTGTTTTAATTTCTGTAACTTTTTAAAATTTCTTTAATCGAAGGGACAAATTTCTAAAGGAAAAAAATTTAATTATGAAATATTTATTAATTAGGTTCAAATAAAGCTACGCATAACAAAAATAAGAACATAAAATAGGAAATATATGAAGAAAAAAAAACAAATAAGGAAATAAAAAGATGCACCTTATACCTTTCTCTCTTTTGGCTAAGAATGAGGTCAGTTCCCTTCAAATATCTATGGTTATGGACAGTGGCGGATCTGTGCAGGCACAAGGAGGTGCGCCTGCACCTCCGGTCGCCGGAAATAGCCATTACAGACGCTGGAGTTGCACCTCTGCTTTAGACCAGCGATGCACACAATGTGCTCAATGAAATGCGCAAACCACTGGGCTGGGGAGCTGCTGCCTGCTGGTGCTGCACCTAGCCTTCAGCGCGCGTGCGAGGGCTCCTGTTTTTTTTTACGAAGCCTGGCCAAAACGACGTCGTTTTGGACCAGACTGTTTAATATGCGCTGCCTTTTTTTGTTTTTTGAAAAACCTGGCCAAAACGACGTCGTTTTGGACCAGGGTTTTGAAATTAAAAAAAAAAAGGGAAACTGACGTGGGCTTTTTGTGGGCTTTTGAAAAAGGGTTTCTATTTCCTTACTTAATTGGGTTTTAATTAAAAATTCTCTTTATTCAATTGGGTTTTGGGAATTCCTTAATTAAATAGAGTTGGGAATTCCTTAATTAAGTAGAATTGAGAATTCTCTTTATAAAAGATCAATAGCATCACCCAATTTCATCAAAGTGTGTGTGCATCACAAGAATCCTGCATTTTTTTCTTCTTCTTGAGTACGCCAATCCAAAGTAAGTCAAATGCTTTTTTTTTCCTTGAGCAAACACCAATTTTGTTTATTCTTTTTTAATAATTTTTTTTTCTTATTTAGCTCTCTCTATATTAGTAAGATCAGTAGCAAACTCGAGAAGAAAGAGGCTACGTGACACGTTATTCGAGGTATAATTAATTTTTATTTATTTATTTAATTGATAATTTGATAATTATTTATTTGATAAATTATAGTAAATTAGTCATAATAATAGATATAAAACCCTTATTTTGTTTCAATTGTACAGTTATGGAACGGTACTTTCAGAGAAAGAGTTTAAATCTTCCTTCAAATAATCCGGCTTTTTCAGCTATGAATATTGTGAAAACACCATTGCGTAACAAAATAGGGAATCAATAGTTGAGTGATAGCTTGGTTGTTTACATTGAGAAAGATGTTTTTTCTTGTATTAGCAATATAAATATAATGCGACGTTTTCAAGATATGAAATCTCGTGGCAACAATTGTAGGGTAATTGTAATGATATTTTTTTAATGTATTATGAATAACATTAGTATTGTTTAAATTATAGGATGTTGATTTAGTTTTTTTTTTTTTTTTTTTTTTTTTTTTTTTTTTTTGTTTTTAGCTTTTGAATTATTATTTCACATAATGCTGACTGAAAATCTTCATGAAAAATTCGCCGCTTATTGGAACACCGGAGCAGAATCGTTTTGTATAGATACGCGCGGGATATGTATCCAAGTCAACGGATGCGGTCAATGACGAAAGGATACGGGTATCTGACAAGACAGATACGGTATCCCAATTTTAAGATACGTTTTAGGTATAATTTTCGGGAAAAATTAGAATTCGACACAAATTTGAAGTCTTGAACAACACGGGATGTTTGCCTTACCTCTTTTGAAACTTTGAAGATCTTTTCCTGCAGATCTTCTTCTTTATATAAATAAAGAAGCAAAGTGCCGACTGCCACCCATCAATTCTTCTACTACTTCTTCATCAATTCTTCTTCTTCTTCTTCTTCACCCATGTATAAATAAAGAAGCTCCGGTTCTTTAATTCATCTAGTGTGGTCGTGGTGGTGGCATTCTTCGCGAATTTTGGTTATGTTTCTCACACTTCTCTCTTTGATTTGTGTTCTGGTGTGGCCATCAGTATGTTCACGCTTCTCTCTCTAATATGTGCTCTGGTCAAACTCTTTTTTTGTCCTTATGTGACCAACACGTTACACATATATTATTATATTGCAGTAACCAACACATATATTATTATATTTCATGTCTGAAACCCTGTTCTTAGCTATCACATGTGCACTTGCAAGTATCACATGTCAGCTATTACATAATCAAAGAATTCACCCCCCGACGTGAAGAGCCATTTTATTTTGGAACAAAATTTGTAATTGGGTAATTTAATAATATTACATTTAATATGTTGAATTTTATTTATATTCAGGAACATGAGAATAATACAAAAACTGGTTGCTGCAATGAAGAAACTGAAAGTGCATGCGAAGGAGACAATCAGTGAGAGTGGTAATAATGAAGACACAGGAGCTATTATTTCAAATCAAGGGCACTCAATTATTGTTTTTCCATGTAAAAGGAGGTGTGTATGTACAAAAGACGCCGGAAATGTAGAAAAAATATGGAAATTTCCATTTGCTGAGCCCCACGAGACAGAAAGTAGGAGTGAGGAGAGGGAATTGGTGCTTTAATAGGCCTCCATTAATAGTATTCCCACGAACCTTGAATGAATCGCCGCTTGATCTGGAATTCTTTTTGTTCCCATTCTTTTTCTTGCAATTCTTTTCTCCAATATTCTTGTGCTTGTCAACTTTTCCATTATTGTTGGGCAGCTGGGGATTAGCACAAGTACAAATTCTTCCTTTTGAATTTTCCGGTTGGTCAGGTCCAGCAATTGAGGAAGTATTGTCATATGCATTGGGTGGCTTTAAGCCCTCACTAATGTCATGTCCATGAGGAACAAACGACGTCACATTATCATGGCTTAATTCTGAAGGATTAGTTGGGGCTGGTTGTGCGGGAAAATAGTAGTAGTACGCAGGAGCAGCATTAGGAGCAGGATTAGGAGTGTAATTATTATTAACTGGATATCCATTAACCACATTAGGAAGAGGAGGAGGAGTAGAATAACCTTTCGAAGTAGCAGGTGCAGGAGTGCCTCTGGTACTGTTTGGATTGTAGCATTGCTCTGTAGATTGAATTTTGATATATTTATACTTAAGGTTTGACGATGAAATAATTGTAGCCAAAGAGGAAATTCTAAAGAGATTTTCTATTTAAACCTCACACTTCTCTTAGTTCACCCCATGTTCTAAGTTCACCCTAACTTTTAATTTAAATTTTCACAATTTCTAAGAAAACCTCATTATCTTCCCAAACTACCTTTAAATACACCCCAAGTTGAAAAAATAAGAAATAAAAAAAAATTTCTATTTAAACCCCACAATTTTATTTGTTCTCCTCAATATTTAAATCATTAAACAATATTTGTAGTATGCATCGGATCTCAAGGATATCAAGAGTGGTGAGGAATTTATATTTTTCTAAAACTTAATATGAAGAGTGGTGGGGTATGTGTATAGATGTATTAGGGTTAAGTATTAAGTTAGATGACCTTTTTTGTCTTTTACATTGTAATAAAACTTACAGCTTAATGATTTAAGTATTGGAGTGAACAAAGAGAAGTGCGGGGTTTAAATAAAAAATAAAAAAAAAACAAAAAAAAAAAAAAAAAAAAAAAAAAAAGAGAAAACCGAAATTTAAAAAGAGTTTGAGAGGGAGACTGAAATTTTTAGCTAAAGAAGGAGGGAGAGTGAGGGAAATTCGGATAGTTCTTTTTTTTTTTCATGAACATTTTACTTCATTAAAGAGATATAGTTTTGACAACATGCGTTGTGCGTTGTTGAACTCCAAATATAACAACACGCCAGGATGCGTTATTAAAACATCCTCAAAATTCCATTTCAACAACGTGCACTAAATGCGCGTTGTTGAAAGAGATATAACACAACACACATACTCCGCACGTTGTGGAAAGTCTAATTCCACAACGCATAATTTATGCACGTTGTTAATAACGTGTTGTGATAGAGTATTTTTCTTGTGGTGAGAATGGTCTGAGTGATGAAAATAAGAAGCTTTGACTCTGTCTTGAAGCCATTGTGGAAGGGTATTAGAGCACTTCCACCAAGGGGGGCAAGGGGGGGGGTGGGGGGGGGGGGAACCCAAAATGTGGTTTTCCAGCAACAATAAGCTGCAACAGGGCAAGCAGTGGGGCCCACAAACCTGGGCAAGCCCGAGGGGGAGGCTGGCCCGAGCTCCAGCCCGGCGGGCTGGGATGACGTCGCTGGCGCGTGCAATACACGCGTCCGGTATAAAAAAAAATTTGACGCGCGCTACAGTAGCCGCCCAACGGCATGATTCCACGTGTCGAATGCTGGGCCATCCGATCTGCTTTTTAAACTTATCCAACGGCAGCCATTTTTTCGCGAATAAAAAAATCGGAAAAAGCAAGCCCCAACGGCTCTGTGCCACGTGGAAGCTTCTGGGCTTTCCGATTTTTTTTTTCCAGCCATCCAACGGCAGGGAATTTTTTGCTCAATAAAAAAATGAAAAAAATACCAAAAAAATACTGAAATTGTTTTCTATAAATACCAACCAATACTCTTCACTTTTAACATCAACAACCAATATTTTTGTAATAAAAAATTACTTTTTTTTGTCTTCTCTCTATACCTTATTTCCATTTTCAACATTTAACTTTTATTTTTAAATGTCTTTGTCCTTTTACTTTTATTTATTTTTATATTACTCCATTTACTTAAGTTTACAATGTAAATAAGGAAGTACCCCCCATTTGGATTCAAATAAAAATACTAGAAAATCAAATTCCCACCAAATCAAAATATGAAAAATCGGTTTTAGTGCAAATACGATTTAGGCTAAAAATGAATATATTTCATATTAAAATCCCATAAAATCAAGTTTTCTTATTTGATGTGTAAGGAATAAAAGCCGCCAAAAATTTACTTGAGAAAATGATTATTTCGAAAAACCATTTTTCATACTTAGTCAATATTGCACCTCTGCTAAAAATCTTGAGAAAATGATTCTTCATACGTAGGAACCCAAAAATCTTATCCGAAAATATTATCCAAATTAATTGTTTAAGTAAACAAAGCTGTGAGGTAAATTATTTGTAATTTTCGTTTTATTAATTTCTATGTCATATTAATTTTTATTTAAATGTTTCTTGCAATTTATATATTTTGTTAACATTTCTTGTATTTCCAATATTAATATGAATGTTTCTTGCAATGTTTAAATTTTGTTTTGCATTTCTAATAATTGTTAATGAATAGTATTGACACGTAGGAACCCAAAAATCTTATCCGAAAATATTATCCAAATTAATTGTTTAAATAAACAAAGTTGTGAAAAAAAACAAAAAAATGAATAGTATTTGCCATGTCAAGGGGCTAACTGCTGGAAACACACTTTGCTGGGGGGAGCTAGGGCAACCACTATTCACATGAACAGTAGCTGCCCTAGGGCTCCCCTTGCCATGGCAAGGGGCTAACTGGTGGAAGTGCTCTTAGGTCTGAGTGATGTAACTCCTCGCAATTGCCATGTTCTTCCTCTATCTCCTTTCTCATTCATTCTTCTTTGTTTCAAAAACCACATCACAAATTGTCTTATATAATTGAACCAAAGCTATTGGAATATTTGTTAGCCATCATGGTGCCAAATATCCTCCGGTGCTTGTAAACTATTAAAATCATTCATCCTTCTTTCCTCCATAAACAACATCATATATCTATCATCTTCCAAAATCATATATTGAATCTTGTTAGACATGGGATCATCCTAATATACATCGTACTCTGACAAATTCAAAGTAACGAATTATATATATAAACGTCACCCTACATGATCACAAATAACATATACATAAGAACAAGCTTACAATCCTGGGTGATTACAGTACGAGTTCTTATTTTCGCACATCGTATACTATATACATAATAAAATTAAACATGGAAGAAGAGATTACTCTTCCTCAATTATCTTTCGCTGGAGCTTTGGAATATCATTTTCTTTTGGGCGTAATATCAGTGTTATTGTTTCAGCTGGTGGCTGATCCTGACTAAACTTTTTTTCCCTCTCCATATGCACTTGAATGAACTCATATGGTGAGCTCCTCCTCATATAATAGATTGTCGATATATAGCTGGCTTGATTGCCAGGTAAATGGGTTTGGGGACAACAAAAAATGGAAAGGAGGAAAGTTAGATTGTCATCTCAAGATGTATTTTTTAAAATTAAAAATTTGGTTGTTGGATTGAATTTTGATATTTTTATACTTAGGTTTGACGATGAAATAATTGTAGCCAAAGTGGAAATTCTAAATAACCCAAAAAATAAAAATTGTACAAGTGGGCTTGGAGTGTGAATTTATCATATTATCCTCATTTAATTAATAATTTCAATTCTTAATATTTGTATTAACTAATAACATTTTCTGGTATTTTAAATATTTTATCATTCTCTATTTTTGTTATATATATATATATATATATGATACAATTGAAAGGGATAAGAATAGTATCCAAATTCTTTATACGTCTTGGGTTCTCCGTTGTCAACTTTGTTTGTCTGGATGCCGACCTATGGGCCCATGGATATTGACCCACGCGTTTTGTGGTCCCTCCCGTTTATACTGAATTGGTGTATGCTTTACAGATTTCTATCCATTAAAGAAATCTGTAAAAGCTGTCTAGAGCACCGTCCTTTGTTTCCCGTGTTCTTCCTCCATCATGATTTAACAAAGACATCCCAATAATCATTATTTAAGTGAATGGCTGCACATGGACTGGTTTTGTTATTTTGACAGCTTTACAGCTCACCGACGAAGTTCATAATCGTCGAAAATCGGAAATCGGACCAAATGAAAAAAAATCAGTTAATTAAAAAAGTCAATAAATTGGCATCAAACAGGACCGAATCGATTCCAATCGATTCTAATTTCGATTTCACACCGCACCAAATTGGACCAGATCAAACCGGACCAGTTGTATATAATTTTTTTTAATATAAAATTATTTAAATCCTATGCTACATTTTTAATTTTATAACTAATATTTTTTCAAGTCCAACTTCAAAACATCTCTTTTTTAGGCTCAATATCTCTCTTTGTATGAAATTTGATCATTTGTTAATTTTCTGGCCGATTTAAAAAAAAATTACTAAAATCAGATCAAATCAGACTGATTAAATAGCACCAATTTCGATTCCAATTTGAGATGAGAATTGGACCAAATCGGACCATGCCCACCCCTAGTTCATATCTTATAGGATTGCTATAACTCTTGTTTAATTTGTTTTACACCTATATGAATTTACTAGCAGAGTTTTGTTTATGATTTCTATTTCTGCACATGATGTTTGTATTTCACTAGAATTGAGTGTGAAGCCCTTAATTAAGCGTACATTCATTTCATCCACAACAAGGAAATACACCTTTGGTGAAGAAACAATTTCATCAATCATGGGGACCTTATTGCCTGTCTATGATAGTCATCAATCATCATGGATCACTGATCGCTGCACATATCGTTAGATAGTAGAACTACACGAAGGAATCTGGCATAGGAAACCAACTCAAAACTAAAAGGGCTTGTGTAAAGGATAATATTCAATCTTGATTATCAAATTACATAAGAAATGGTGCATACATAAAATAAAGAGGCCTGCAGACTACAGATCACCTGAGTTCACTCTTTGTTTTCACCACCGGAGACCGAGTCGGTTTCTCCACTTCTTGAGTCGACTTGTTTTTCTTTCTTGTGGCCTTTATAAACGTTTTTGTTGCCAAACTCGAAAATTCCTACCCTACCTGAATTGCTCCCCTCAATTGTATTCCCATAAATGTTGAAGGCAACGCCTCTTTTGGCCTCATCTCTCTCAGTATTATTCTTGGGCTTGGTAGTTGTACTAGAAGTAGCACAGCTTTTGGAACCCGTTGCTGGGTTCGAGCTGCTGTTGTTTTCCTGCTCGATGTTCACTTTAGCATCCTCAGATGCTTTCTTGTTATCACCAATTTTAGGCTTTAGGATTAGGAAGCCTGTAGACATATCTTCACCTTGGTTACAATGGCAACCCACGATTTTTTTACAGGGGGTGGGCTAAATTTTTTTTGTGGACACCTATGTGATTCAGACTATAGTCGGGTCCTCCACCAAAACACCCACAAGCTCAAGATGATCAAACCGCCTATTCAACATCAGCTCATAACATCTTCACCACATAAAACCACCATCAATGTGTAGACAGACAAACACATGAAAAAGGAAGAAGAGAGAAATAGAGATTTAATAAAACAAAAGAGAAACAAATAGAGAAAGACAGAAGGAAAGAAAGAGAAAGAAGAAAAATGGCGGAGAGAGAAGAACAAGAAAAGAGAGAGAAGAAAGAAACAGAAAAGAGAGGGGAGAGAAAAGAAAGAAGAAAGAGAAAACGGAGAGAGATAGAGAGAAAATTTGGGCTAAATTTTGATTTATCTAAATTTGGCTTACAAATTAAGCCTACTCTCAAAGTCACCGTGCCCCATACCAATCCTACACTCCCTTCTTCTATTGTTTCTTGTAACTTCTATGGACATCTTCATCTCGTGTAACGCCTTTTTCTCTTGAATTCTAGCTTTGTCCAAGTGCCATCTTTCCAACTCCCCCTCCAACATGGCATGAATCACCGAACTTACACTCAGGAATAGTAATGCTTTGAAAAACGCGTGATTCATTAAGTGAAAGACACTAACCGAAGAGTTTGAGATGCCGCAAGAAAAGATCATATAGCAGAGAGTTGGACACGCATCAACTTGTTCGGCTTCTTTATCATGCAATTGAGTCCTCATCACTTAGGACTGGACTGGAGCCCACTCTAGCCCTAAAGTAGGTCCGCCCTTGCTTGGTTACATCCCACTAACCAGCTGCAAGTCTCTTATAGGTAAAGGCCACCCACAAAAAAATAGTTTATGTATGCATATGTATCGATTACATGTTTTAAGGAAATTGAGGTTCTATCTCAAAATTAATTGGCAATTAGGGGAGTAGCCCAACACCTTATAAGTCATTGTTAGATTTTTCAACTTTTCAATATAAGACATCTTTCACTTTCACTTTCTCACCCCTGCATGTGTGATGAATTTTTATACCTAACATGTGGACTTAAATAAAAAATTATCAATCACATTAGAGTCAAGGACACCTTTTTCTTTGTAGATAACTAGCTGACATTGGTTGTACCACTGAATTCGCCTAATCAATAGGCAAGATTCCACCCACCACTGTCTTTTTCTGTATGTATACAAGATATATATCTGGCGAGAATAACTTAGTTGCTCTTCTCTACCTAGTTTTTCTTCTGATATGATGTATCACATAATAACCGAATAAGAACTAAACCAAATTTCTCCTTGTGTCTTTGGGAAGAATTACATGTTCATATTCTTTTTAGATGGAGACAATTTCCTTCATTGCCCTTTAACTATTATAACCAGGTACATCACATATACTAACACTGTTAGGCCATCTCCAACCATGTTGGGGCTAAACTCAAATTTCCACCCTAAAAAATACAACTATTCATGTATTTTCATGACTCAAATTTTTTTTTCCTCCAACCTTGCAGACTCATAATTTGAGTCCGCAACTTTATTAAATTGTTTAAGAATGATTAACACCTAAATTTTTTTTTCTTGTTAATTTTTCTTGATATTATTTTTATTTCAATACTCGTGATTTAATTTTCTAAACATTTTAACCTAAAAAAATTAAAATTCCAAAACATTAAAAAAAAACAGCAAATCAGATTTATTTTGAAAATATAGCCATTGCCCAACAAGATTGAAATGTGGGCCAACTTTATTTGCATGCCCAAACACGAGTCCAAAATATAGCCATTGCCCAACAACAAATCAGATTTGATTGGTCAGCAAGTGGGCTTCCAGCCAAATAAAAAACAGATTTTGGGCCCACAAAAAATATGAGTCCAGGCTATATTGGGACTGGAATTCCACCCCAAATTTGAGATTTCTCACATTTCCACCCACCAAAATACATGGGTTGGAGAAGTTTTTTGGACTCAAAACTCAAAATTTGAGTTTCCACCCCTTGGGTTGGAGATGGTCTTACAATTATACATAAGCCAAAAGAGGTCTGCAAGCATGGCTGTATGAGCTACAATTACAGTTTCAGTAGAATCTAGTTTTCAATTGGCCACATGCCTTATTTGTGGTAGTAAAAAATTAATGGCGACACCATGTAACAAACATAATGATGTACCCTGTGGCTTATCAGTTGGCAATATATTTTGGCCAACGTCAGTATAATTAGTTGACCAGAAAAAAAGTAAAAAAGGATTAGGCCGTTTGTATATTTTACTAATTTTGTCTATATATAGAAAATAGGTCATGCTAGGGAGATCAACTTTAGATACCAACTTGTATATCATCTCTCTACTAGAGGTGGAGCCCACCAATAAAATAGGTCACACGCTCTATTAAAGAGATGGTACACAAGTTGGTATCTAAAGTTGGTCTCCCTAGCATTTTTCATAGAAAATAGACTTAAATGTCAAAATGATCTCTGCGTTTTTTTGTGTTGGCCAATTTGGGGGTCAATGTAGTCTTGGCAACTCAAGTTTATATCTCAAGTTGATATCCGGTGTTTCTCCTCCACGCATTTATTCTTCAATAATGCGTAGAGAGAGATAAAGAGTAGGTGGATGCAGTCTTGGGATGGGATGGGGAGGTTAAGTTGGGGTGGTTTTGGTCTTCGTTTTTCTTTATCTCTTTTTGGTATGAGGTTTTAGTCTTATTTTAATAGTCCAAAAAACAATTCACTCTCGTGTGGAAAACTTATGTGGTTGAGGATATCGTTGGGTTTTGATGTAATTTTGTTTCCTTTTTTAGCCCCGGTCAACATAAATGAAAAAACCGAACCACGTGGTCTTCAGTAGGGGTTGGCACGGTTCGGGTTGGACCGGTTTTTGCCTCAGATTGGAACCGATTCGATACTATTCATCCAGTTTGGTTCGGTTCGGTTTTAATTAAAAAAATTCAAGAACTATCTAGTTCGATTTGAACCGATTCCGGTCCGATTTCGGTTCCGGTTCGGTTTTGAACCAAATTATAAAAATTATTATTTTTTAATACAATTCTCAAGTAAAATATTATTTTTTGCTTAAAAATTAACAAATTATTCAATTTCATATAAAAATAAATATTAAAGTGAGAAAAGAGAGATATTTTGAAATTGAACTTGGATAAATATTAGTTTTTCTTTTTGTGAAATTAAAAATATAGCATTAAATATAAATTTATATTGAAATTATATTTTTTTAAAATTTGACTGGTTCGGTTCGGCTTGGTTCGATTTTTGAAGACATGGAACCGGATCCAAAATTGATCCAAACCCGTCCAGTTTGGTTTTTGACCCATGGTTGACTTTTTGGTCAACTCGTTTTTTTTTTTCGGTTTGGTTTGGTGTGGTTCGGCTCGGATTTCTGGTTCACCGGTTTAAGTGCTCACCCCTAGTCTTCAGCTTATATTGGCGAAGGACCCACTCGGGCTCAAGGGGCTGCACTTGCAGGTCTTTTTCGTCATCTATAGTCTGATATATTCTTCTGTCAACCTCCTGTACATAATCATGCGCGCTAGTGGGCTTCGTCGTTATCTATAGAAAGAGGATTGAATCCGGTGAAAATATCATAATAGGACTAATAATATAACATAATACATTATTGGTATTGAAATAATAATTGAGAATTTCCACAACCAAAATTTTATTCTCATAAACTTCGAGCAATTGCTAGGGGCTTCGAGCAGTTGTTGTTTGCCTGGTCAATGTTCACTTTAGCATCCTCAGATGCTTTCTTGTTATCACCAATTTTAGGCTTTAGGATTAGTAGACATATCTTCACCTTGGTTACATCCCGGTAACTAGCTGCCAGTCTCTTATATATAAAGGCCGAATACAATTTATTAATCGGTTAATAAACTTCAAGCCATGATCACAAATAACATATACATAAGAACATGCTTACAAGCACTGGCGGATCTGTTAAGGAGCAAGGAGGTGCAGCTGCACCTCCCCTCGCCAGAAAAACCATTGTAGGTGTTTGAAATTGCCCATTTGCTCAGCTGGCGGTGGTGTACAGATTTCCTTATTTTCATCTTCAACATTTAAGTACATGTCTTTGTCTTTTTACTTTCATTTATTTTTATATTACTCCATTTACTTAAGTTTATAATGTAAATAAGGAAGTAACCCCCATTTGGATTCAAATAAAAATACCAGAAAATCAAATTCCCCCCAAATCAAAATTTGAAAAATCGGTTTTAGTGCAAAATACAATTTAGGCTAAAAATGATAGCTCATTAAGTCAAATATACTTCATAATAAAATCCCATAAAATCAAGTTTTCTTATTTGATGTGTAATGAATAAAAGCCGTCAAAAATTATCTTGAGAAAATGATTATTCCGAAAAACCATTTTTCATACTTAGTCAATATTTTTACATATAACAATTTTTCATGTATGATATGAATGCATGAAGGGACCTAAGGTCAATCTAGGTAAAAAGCCTTAGATGTTCAATCTAGAAAGAGTTTTTAGCCTTTCAAAATTGCACATCCGCTAAAAAATTCATGGATCCGCCAGTGCTTATAAGCCTGGGTGATTACCGTACAAGTTCTTATTTTCGCACTCCGCATATTGTATACATAATAAAATTAGAGGAATGTTAGCAATCTTCTCTCTAACCTTCTCTTTTGGACCTTCTCTATTTTTTGCTTGACATGTGTCATTCTCCTTTCACTTAAAACAATGTTATTAATATATTATACAAACTAACTTTTGCTTTCCAAGTTTATCCTTATTAAATGTATTCAATTTATCCAAACAAATTTCACAACTTTAATATCATCTTATTATATTTTTTTTAACGTCAAATTTTTTTTTAAAAAGAAATTTTTTGCTTTTAAAAAAAATAAAATAAAAATCTAAACGTTAAAAAAAAAAAAAAAAAAAAAAAAAAAAAAAAAAAAAAACATTTCCTCTCTTTTTAAAAAAGCATACATTTTCTTAAATAAAAAAAGTTGTCATTAAAAAAAAATATATATATATATATATATATGGTAAGAAAGTTGTAAATTTTTTTTGGATAAGTTGAATACAATTAATAAAGGTAAACTTGGAAAGCAAAAGTTAGCTTATATAGGCCCCGTTTGGGATTGCTTTTTTTCGCCAAAAACCTGCTTAACTTTAAAGTTAAGCAGTTTAAGGTGTTTGGTAAAAATAAAATATCCTGCTTATTTTAAAAGCAATGGTCTTTTGACAGCAGCTTTTAAAAGTAACATCGGGGTTGCTTTTTAAAGCTGCTTTTAATTGAAGCAGCGCGCTCCCTTTAATGATATTTTCGCAATTCCACAAATACCCTTATTAGGTTAGAAATCCTCACGTATTTCTCTCAAATATGCAGACAACAAAGTTCATCTTCACGTAGCCTCCCAAGTTTGGGGACAACCATTCGCTCAATCTCTCTCAATCTCTTTGACAAGGTTAGATTCTTCAATCTCTCAAACTTTTTATATACGTGCTGCTCTTGTTTTTTTGTTTTGTTTGTTTTTTTCCTACTGGTTGTCTATGGTTTCTACTAGTTTTATATACGTCCAGATTTTTCCTACTGGTTGTCCATGGTTTCTACTGGTTTTATATGTCCAAATTTTGTCTACTGGTTGTCCATAGTTTCTTTAAGCATAAAGGTGTCCATGCCAGGAAGTTACAAAGGAGAAATACACATTCTTGTTCCAGGCCTCGAATGGGGCCAAATAAATTTGTTTTTGCTTCCATCTTAGTATCTTATCCTCTGTATAAATTCTGGTTCTATAGAAATTCAACTATTATTGAGCTTATATGTACCCCTCAAATCATTGAGCATTGAAAAAAAGAACCGTCCTAAACTTATTACCGGAACCTTGGCCCTTTTCATGTATCTAGAGCTCTGTTATCTCCACAAGCTAAGAGCCAAAACTGTGAGGCCAGCAATGCCAGTCAAAATCTGTTACAACCAGAAAAACTAATTTGTTATACAGCTGCTCTAAAGTTTACGAATAATTTGAGATAATTCAAAACTGCATACCCAACTAGTTTTGCTGCAAACTTTTAATTCCCTTTATTTCTTTGGCTTCCATTAATCTTTTGTGAATATATATCAAAACTGCATACCCAAAAAATAAGGGAAAAATATATGGGAGTGTGTTTGAATCCTTGTCATCTTGTACGACTTGGTGTATTGCTTTTGATGTATGTAGTTTTGCTCAAGTTTTCCTATAGGTAATTACTTAGGCACTATGCATGTTTTTAGTAAAAACATTATTTGCTATAACATGTTCATCTCCCAATACATAAATATTTAAATAAGGACATGCACAGATGGTGAAGAATAATAATGTGGCTAGTGGATCACCAGTTTCGGCTGTATGGAATAATCAGAATACAACTATATTTTGTGACTTGTGTATCAAGGAGGTGGAGGCAGGTAATCGTCCTGGTACTCACTTTAAGAAAGAAGGATGGGAAAATGTGAGGATTAGCATGAGTAAAGAGACAGGAGCCGAGTATGATAAATCACAATTGAAAAATAAGTGGGATGCACTTAAGGAACAATGGAAAATATGGAAAGAACTAATTGGAAAAGAAACTGGTCTTGGGTGGAATTCCAAACTTGGGACTATTGATGCTTCTGACGAATGGTGGCATAACAAAATTGAGGTATGTTATTAATATTTTTTAATGTTGTTTGTTTATTATAATTCAATGAAACATCTGTAATAGTTTTTAATGTTGTTCTCTTTGATTTGTAGATAAATCCCAAATATGCAAAATTAGGTAGAAAGGGTATTAGTCCTGATATGGAAGAGAAGTTTGATAGAATGTTCATGAACACCACCGCCACTGGTGACCATGCTTGGGCACCTTCATCTGGTGTACTTCCAACTCAGATTAGTAAAAATCACTTTCAGCATCATGTCTATTTTAGTCATTATAAATAGTTACAGCACTTTTACGGTAAAATTTACCAAACGCTCTGACACTGCTTTTCATACTCACAGCACTTTTAAAATTACAGTTTACCAAACGTTTAACAGTTTTACTTTACAGCTGATTCTTTTTAAAGCACAGCAGAAGCAACTTTTTTTTAAAGCGGCAGCAATCCCAAACTAGGCCATAATATATTAATGACATTGTTTTACGTGTAAAGAGAATGACACATGTCAAGCTAAAAAGGAAGAAGGTCCAAAAGAGAAAGTTAGAGAGAAAGTTGCTAGCACTACTACATTTTAGTCTTTGCGCGACGAAAGGGTTTTCGTCGCGCAAAAACGATTTTAGTCGCACATCATTATGCGCGATAGAATATTCGTCGCGCACAATCCGTCGCGCAAAGGTCGTGAAGAAAGGATTTGCGCGACGAATAAATGTCATTCGTCGCGCAGTTTGCGCTACGTATAACATCTTCGTTTCAAAAAACATTTCGGGACGACCTCATTGTCCGTCGCACAAATATTTGTGCGACGAATCAGAGGTCGTCGCAAAAAAAAACTGCGCGACGGAATTGTCCGTCGCGCGAACTACATGAACCTTGCGCGACGACATCTTATTCGTCGCGCATACACATCTTGCGCAACGAAATTACTCGTCGCGCAAGATTAAGATATATTTAAATGTTTTTGCGCGACGATTTACATTTCGTCGCGCAAAAGCAATATATATTATTAAAAAAAATTTATTATTATATTATTTTTAATTTTGTAAAAAAATAAATGTTGTTTTTTTTTAATTAAAATGAAATTACAATAAAAAAAAATTAATCGTAAAGAAAACATCTATTATATAAAATAAAATAAATGTATACAAATTGTAAAAGTAATTATAAAAATAACAAACTAATCAAATAATGTTCCGAAATCTAATTGGTCATCTGCCACATGCGGCTCGGAGGTATGCGGCTCGGAGGTATGGGTGTCTGCAGGGGCCGTGGACCGGCTCGGAGGTCGACGCACCAAAATTCGGGATTGGAATCCCGGACCGCGCGAGCGACTGCAGAATCACCGACATCTGACCCTCAAGCTCGGCAACCCGCGATGTCAAAACAGTCACCTGACTGTTTGCCTGCGACGATGACCGCGGTCGAGGTTCCCTCTGTCGGGCATTCCCCATCCCCCTACAATACGTTCCCGGCCTCCTCCCGAGAGTCTGATCCAACGTCTGCGTCAAAATCTAAAATCCAGCATCATGCGGAGGATCCACAGACTCGATCGGAGTCTCGGGAGGAAGTTGGGAGGCGGACTCTTGAAGAACCAACTGGCTCCTCTCCACCATCGTCGTCTGTTTAACATTACATAAAATATAAATTAAAAAATGCATATAAATTGAAAGTGTAACATAAGAATTAAAAATACATAATACTTACATGAAGGGACTCGGCCAACTCATTCCCAGGTCGAACATAAACGTCACCAAAGACGTCGATCTCTGGGAATTTCGACCCCCCCTTAATTGAACAAGAGAAGAAAAATATTAGTATGAACAAAAGAAATTAATAATAATGACGTATTAAAAATTAAATATAAATTATATTATTCTTACCCGACGCCGTGCATCCATCCTATATGAGAAGGGCCTGGAGCCGGAATGGTGAAGAAGAGTCTTCTTCTTCCTATTGCCCTTATTCACTTGGGCTTTATTCTGTTATACAAAAAATAAAACGTAAGAATTGAACTATAAATAAATTAAATAATAATGAGATATAAAAAATAAAATAAACATTAAACAAATATTATTAAAAAAATACCACATAATCGGGCGCCTGAAAATGAGCGCAGAGCCACGCCCAACTATCCTCCCGCCCCTCAAGCTCCTTCGGGCAACCCTCCTGAAAAGCGACTTCCGGATCATCAAAGGCCTGGAAATGGTGGTGCAAGTCGCTCTTCCACTGCTTGTACCTCTCACCGAAGAGTCTGTTGACGTACGCCAAAGTCTCCTCGTTGAGGTCCTCTAAGTCGTAGTTCGTCTGCAATAAATTGATTACATACATTAAGTAATAGAAATATATAAAGTTTGAAAGAAAAATAATTAAAAGATAGGAAAAATACCGACAACTGGCCGCGAACTTGCATCTTGATCTCGTCAGGTATGACCTTCCAAGACTTCCATTGCATCGGGCAATGGGTCCGAACGACGTGGCCAATGTCGTGGGCCAAGGAGCTATGCAAGTCCGCCGTCGGTGCAGCCCGATGGCGCTCGTCATATCCAATGCTGATACGACTGTTGGTCACCCGGGTGACCTTCGCCGTCTTCAGCTGCCGACACGGCCCTCGGGTGTTCCTCTTGGCTGCAAAGGGATAGGACAATATTGTTACATATACAATCAAATTGAACCATCAAATTCCCAATTAAAAAAATGTTAAACAAAAAATGAAAGGGGAAGGGTATTACCTGTAGGTGCCCCCGAGGCACCAGTACAGTCAGTGGATGTGGTGTCGGTGGTGGTAGCGGGCCGGTGTCGCCGCCTAGCGCTAAGAGGCTGCACCACCGAAGAAGATGATGATGCAGCCGCCTGGGATCCCCCAGGACCAGCTAGCACGTGGTCCTGCTCCATCAGTGCTGGAGCAGTGGCAGCTGATACCGGCTGAGCCGGGGGCTCCGAACTCGGTGTAGCCGTCACCGCCCTACGACGTCTAATCAAGTCTGACATCTGCACAATTTCATTAATCCAATGTAGCACATACAATGTCAGTAAAAAATTGAACTAACTAATTAAAATCATAGTTTGACCTAGGGTTTGCGATTTCGGAGTATCCGGGACTCCGATCCACAATCCGTCGATTCCTAAACGATCCTATAAATACATGGTACCACATACCTGAGTTTCAGCTCGATCCAACGGTCCGAACATATCAAACCCTAAAATCGCACAATAGGTTCGAACCGTTCGAGACTCAAACGATAACCAAATTCCAATCCGAGCACACCTACGCGCTCGTGACAACGAAATGTTTGCACTGGGACAAAAAGCCCTATGCCACAGTACCCCACGCGCCACCACACGCGCCGGCAGCGCGTGGGTGCCCTAAGAGATAACGATCCCCGGGAAATCCTACAAATTAAGGGGCAAGGTTCCTACCCTAGGTTTAAAACATCAATTGGAGCCACTTTTGTTCTCGGACCTACCCCGAAAAACGGACGGAAGTGGCCGGAATTTGAATTTCAAAACCGGCCGAAACCTAGGGTTTCAAATTGACTACCCTATGCACACAATCAATCAAATCCTACACAACCATCAGCTAGAGCATGAAAAATAGGCCAAAAAGCATACCTCAATTGCCGGATTTGGTGCCCGGAGGAGAGAGAACAACGGCGGCGGAGATTCGGCTAAACCGAGCAATTCACGGCGGCAGGATGGACGGCCACGGCGGAGAAGCTCCTGGGTTCGACGGTGGCGGCGGCAGGGTCTGATTTGGGGCGGATTAGGGGCTGAGGTCACGGCGGAGAGATTTGGGAGGTTTTAGGGTTAGGTTTCAGAATTTGGGGAAGAAGGAGAAGATCGCGATTTTCAGAAAACTTATTCGACTTTGCGCGACGAATATATATATCCGTCGCGCAAACGTCATTAAAATAACCTTTGCGCGACGAAAAATTAACTTTTCGTCGCGCAATGTTATAAAATTGGACCTTTGCGCGACTAGAACAACGAATTTCGTCGCGCAAACGTGTGAACAGATATACCTTGCGCAACGAAAAAACTACTGTCGTAGCGCATACTTGTGCAGCCGCCCAAAATTTTGGGATTTGATTTTGCGCGGGAAAAAAATCAATGCAATGAGATTGCGCGACGAATGGACTAATATTCGTCGCGCAAACTGGTTTTTGATAAAAAAATTTCACTAAGTGCTGGAGCGGAGAGGAGAGGGAAATTTTTTTATTGATTTTGCGCGACGAATGGACTAATGTTCGTCGCGCAAACTGGCTTTTGATAAAAAAATTTCACTAAGTGCTGGAGCGGAGAGGAGGGGGAAATTTTTTTATTGATTTTGCGCGACGAATGGACTAATATTCGTCGCGCAAACTGGCTTTTGATAAAAAAAATTTCACTAAGTGCTGGAGCGGAGAGGAGGGGGAAATTTTTTTATTGATTTTGCGCGACGAATGGACTAATATTCGTCGCGCAAACTGGCTTTTGATAAAAAAAATTTCACTAAGTGCTGGAGCGGAGAGGAGAGAGAAATTTTTTTATTGATTTTGCGCGACGAATTGATTCTGTTTGTCGCATAAGGTTTGCGCGACGCGTAAGCGTCAATTCGTCGCGCAAAACCATACCCTAAACCCTAAAACCTGTACCCTAAGCCCTAAACCCGAACTCCTGAACTAGTTTCAATGATCCAACCGACAATCTTCTTTTTTCATAGTTCAAGATCGTATACGTCAAAAATCATAATGAATGAACATTCAGAGATTGAGTAACGGGACAAAACGTTTCGACGGTTGTAAACAAATTGTCCCGATTCAACGGTGATTTTAGCTCCGATCTTGAAAATTTTTTGCAGCTGCGGTTCTTGACCCTATATGAATACAGAGATGTAATTCGATCTTCAATTTCAGATATTTACAGTACAAGACATCACATAATCTTATATTAGACTGAAGGAATGTATAAAGAAATTATTCAGTTTTTATGAATATTGTGTTTTTATGGAATACGCATTCTAGGAAACTAGTTTCAGTAATCTAGCCGTCAAATATGTTTGTTTACACTTCGAGATCTTATACGTCAAAAATGAGAAAAAAAAACATTCAGAGCTCAAGTAACGGGACAAAACGTTTCGACGGTTATAAACGAAAAGTCATGATTCAACGGTTATTTTGACTCTGATTTTGATGATTTTTTAAAGCTATACTGTTTAACCCTATGTGAATACAGTGAACTACTTCGATCGTCAATTTCAACTATATACGTGTGTATAATTCAGAAATATATATATGTATATGTTTGCGC